TGTATTATTGTCATTTTGTTTATTTTCTTTGGTTACATCTTCTGACATCAGACTCGGACTTCTCTTGAACTGAATTTTGATGTGCGTATTGTTATGCGTTTACTTTTCTACATTGGCTAGAGGTATAGGGGGAGGGTTGAGATCTCATAAACATGTTTAACCCCGCCGCATTTTTGCGCCTGTCCCAAGTCAGGAGCCTCTAGCCTTTGTTAGTCTTGTATTATTTTTAATTTTAGTTTCTTGTGTACAATTTGGAGTTTAGTATGGCGTTCATTATCACTGAACTAGTATATATATTTGTTTAGGGGCCAGCTGAAGGACGCCTCCTGGTGCGGGAATTTCTCGCTGCATTGAAGACCATTTGGTGACCTTCTGCTGTTGTCTGTTCTATGGTCGGGTTGTTGTCTCTTTGACACACTCCCCATTTCCATTTTCAATTTTATGAATCTGTCTTTCTCAGATTAACTTCTCCTTTACGAATTACGACTACTTAAATATATATGTGTACTTTTAGTCTTGAAAACAAACAGCATTTTGATGCGTTTCTGGAATTTTTTTATGAAGCGTATGCTGTTCAGCAGTCATCGAGTAGAAATGTTCTTCTTCTGCTGATATGAAATACTACGATCTTTCAATATAATCTTTAATATTTCTTTTTTTTTGTATCATCTTCAAATATTATACTCTCATATATGCATTATCATGTACACGAAACATTTTTCTTCCTCTAGTTAATGGGAATATTTCACCCTGCGTATTTCGGCCACAAGGTGTATCCGCGGTTTAATATTTTGATGACGTGTGTTGCCTAGTAATAACAGAGACACTCTGGTAATAACAATTCCCGCGAAATTATTGAAAAAGGAAATTTTGATAAAAAACATTGCTTTGAAAGATGATAAAATGTTATCTAAATGTGGATTGTATAGATATTGAAAAATATCAGCCCCCTCGACAGAATATGAAGCTAAATGGCTCGTTCGCTACGCTCACTCGACATTTAGCTTCATATTCTGCCTCGCGGGCTGATATTTTTCTATATCTACATATCCACATCCAAATAACATGTACATATACATATTTGAAAATTTTAAAAATAAAGTATAAAAACACATTTTATTTGTGATTGTTTAAAGGGCCATTAAGTGCGAAATATATATAAAAATAAAATATGATTATGTTTTATTAAATCATTAATGAAAATGAAATAGTGAAATAATAATTCGCTTTTAGCTGCAAGTTTGGTTCAATTTTGTCAAAACAAGCTTAGAAACATCACTGATGAATTATTCACTTGCAAGTGAATAATTCGACCTCATTGAATCCGTATCCATGTGACCTTCAATTTGACCTCTTTGCTAGAGATGAGTTACGCATAAATAAGGTGTGTTCTGCTATTAAAAGTAAAAAATGCCAACATTGAAATTAAAACAAGGGTAAACCATTTGGTTGATTTATTAGATCCATAAAAACATTCTTATACAGGTAAAAACGATGATAAACATATGTTTTAACCTATAATATGAAATCAAACAGACCTAAAAAAAATCAATTGCACGTGTTCGCTATCTATTTATATCTATATTAAGGTTCATATCGGGTTATATGACAGTCTTCGGAGGTCAACTCGAAGGTTAATTAGATGGCTAGACTAAAAATACACCCGAAATGCTGATACATATTATCGAGCCCATGTATCGTAAATTGTTAATTTCAGACCTTTTGTAATTTGGATATACGTTTTAGTATGTTATTTATCAAATATGAAAATTTTAGTCAAATCGCTGAACATTGTTTTGACAGCTAATGCCCCATTAAAGTACAAGATTTGTTCATTTATGACATGTTGCTGAAACTCCAAGCTAAAAAGTGTATCAATTATAAAAATAAGAAGATGTGGTATGATTGCCAATGATACAACTCTCCACAAGAGACCAAATGACATACCAAGTCTGAAGAAATAGAACATTCATATAATGAAATATGTAGACAGCTCTCTCACAAGCAATTAAAATCTCATTAATTTGATTCATTATCTATATTTAAATGTATATCAATTTAGAATGATTTCCGCGTATAAGAATCATAATTACTTGTTGAATCTTACAATGATTTAAAAAAAAATAGTTCACTCATATGTTTTGTCAATGAAGTGCTCTATTGTCAAATTCGAGTACAATTTGCTAAGCACATAAGGAGCGGCATAGTTATATTAATGCATATAACATGTATGAGCGGTAATATGCCAGACCGCTTCTGAAATTTTCAGATTTGGAAGGGCCAGATAAGGGCCTTTCTAGAAAATATCTTTCTAGAATATATGATATTCGTAACAAATAATGTAACGCAAATGTATACAAAAACACATATATTTCATTAAAACCTGAAATGTGAATTAATAATTAATAACAGATAAAATACAGTCAGGCTGTTGGATAATTTGCACAGTATACAAAAAAAACTCGCACAATAGAATTTGTAAAAAAGGATCACTAAAAGAATATTTGATATGTTCAAAGCAGTTTGAGGGCAAATAACAAAAATCTTGCTAAATAAAATTAGTACAAAAATGTTCATGTGTGATTTTTGGTTGTGATGTAACCATATGCGCTGATTATATTTTTAATGCTAAATAACTACAGAGTTCAATCTGACTAAAACAATAGACATATCTTCTTTCCAATAAGTGGTTTAAGACTAAACTGATTTTAACATATGATCAATATGCTTTTTATGGGTTCTATAGGTGTGTGATGTTATATTTCTTTTATTGACAGTCAATGTATAGGCCTGTTGTCAAACATCAAGTTTTCTCATAGATTCAAAGAATTATTAAATATCAAGATAGATAACTCTGTATCCCATGACAAACAATCACATTCAATGAAACAGTATTGAAATGATTATGTTCACTTAAGAATGATTTATTACCGTAAAATATAAAAAAAGAAGCAATAACAAAAAAAAACAAAGAAAAAATACGTAATATAAGTCCCAGCATTATGTTAAAAAAACTTATTTTACTGTTTATTACCTTAATGATAATATTTATAATAAGAATAAGATTAATTTCATATGTTCTGAACATTTTCTTATGTCTTTATTTTTTAACTCTGAACATATAAACTCCTTATTTTTATAGGTCGACCACATAGTGAATATTCTGGGAAAGGCTACAGAAATATAAAGTCAGGTCTGTCCCATCAGCAACAGTGTGACAATTCTTAAATTTGAACATGCGTCCTTCAGGTTACAAGGAAGTAATTATTTACATAGGCGACAATGGTAGCCTTTTTTGGTCCTGTGTTTTCCCTATCAAAGATCCATTGACAAAAATGTCGAAATCTGAATTATCAACACCTTTTGGTGTAACTGAAAATGCAAAACACATATGGTGCCGCAGCTTTTTTGATAGAAAAATGGCATTTTTTTAGGGTACTCAACGGTTCCGGAATTTTCGAAATAGTATAAATGAAGAACACCCGTTGCTAAATTTGGCACAGAAAATGTTTCTCGTCACAGAGAGTTTTCTCTAAATTTCTCGCTATTTCTACACCAATGGCCAACACTCATTTCTCACTATTTCAATTTTGATTTCTAATTACTAGGGCAGCAGAAAATAAATTTACTCCTACCTACTATCTTGGATGTGAAATCTAGGTGGCGTCAATCATCTTATTTACTTCCTTTTAACCTATACTGACATATATTGAAATAAAATCAGACAATCTTTACATAAGTCGATTACTTTATTCCCCTGCTGCTTAACTTCAAATTTTTGGATTAAAGATACAATTGTTCACTATTTAAAATTACTTCCTTCACAGGTACCCCCCTTTGCAGAAAACGTTACTTTTTACGCACTTGGGGCAATTGACCAGCTTATTTTGACTGTTTGGCTATTTTTAAAACGAGGTGTTTGATTAAGAAAGTTCGATATAGGCCTATTAAAGACTTTAGGCTGATGATTTGATAAATGTGTCCAACTTATATGTCTTTATCACGAATATATAAAGACCGTTGCATAAGAGCCAAAATATTTTATGAAATAGACTATAAAAATGTTAAAACTAAGAATTTATCATTGCTGTTATGTGTTTTATATGAATCGTGTGCAGAACATTCAATTTGACGATACTAAGGAGAAACATGTAAAGCCTTTGATTTTTTACTTAATTTTAATATTTTAGGGGCATTTTGGCACATTTTTATCATTAAAAATACAAAAATGTCGCTAACGTCAGCAAAAATAAGCCCCCCTTTTTTTTAGATATGCATAAAAACATGCAGTGTTATCGGGGATGAGGAGAAATGATTAAAGACAGAGTCCTTGACAGAATTCTAGTTCTTACAGTAGGTTAATGAACCCTACCCCTTAGGCAGAAGAATAAAAAAACAGTAAAAATTTGATATATACTATAGGTTCATGGCGATCAGAAAATTTCTTCTGATACAGTTTATCACTTATTACCTTATTACCTTAATACCTTTCCAATTTCTAAAATATCTCGAAAAATAAAGTGATGCGCCAGAAATCGTTATTTCGCTTTAGGTTACAAGGAAGTAATTATTTACATAGGCGACAATGGTAGCCTTTTTTGGTCCTGTGTTTTCCATATCAAAGATCCATTGACAAAAATGTCGAAATCTGAATTATCAACACCTTTGTGTGCAATTGAAACTGCAAAACACATATGGTGCTGCAGCTTTTTTGATAGAAAAATGGCATTTTTTAGGGTACTCAACGGTTCCGGGATTTTCGAAATAGTATAAATGAAGAACACCCGTTGCTAAATTTGGCACAGAAAATGTTTCTCGTCACAGAGAGTTTTCTCTAAATTTCTCGCTATTTCTACACCAATGGCCAACACTCATTTCTCACTATTTCAATTTTGATTTCTAATTACTAGGGCAGCAGAAAATAAATTTACTTCTACCTATTATCTTGGATGTGAAATTTAGGTGGCGCCAATCATCTTTATTTACTTCCTTTTAACCTATACAGTAACGTTATGTGGAGAAGAGAGGAGAGTGATTGCGAATAAATGTACACTTAGTTCAGTACATCATGGATCTACAAAGTGATATCAACAAAATTAATTTATTCATAGCTAAGCTAGTTTTAGCACTGCAGTAGACATAACAGTGATAGACACATGATTTGAGAATATTTAAGACTTTTGACAATAGAAAAATACTTCCCTAGATCAACTGTAAGTGTTTTCATATCCCACATAAAACAATAAACTAATTTTAAGTATTTTTGCAGGCTGTTGGATAAGTCATACATTATACCAGAAAAAACACACAATAGAATTTGTTAAATATTACCAATTATAAAAAAAAATGTTAATGTGTTCAAAACAGTCATACCGCAAATGACAAAATCTTGCTTGATAAATGTAGTCTTAAAATGTCTCTGTATGATTTATTTTATGATGTAATCATATGCACTGCTTATATTGTTAATGCTGAACGACTACAGAATTCATTCTTAAGTTATAAATTTGAAATATCTTATTTTTATGGAGTGGTTTAAGCCTAAACTGATTTCAACATATGATTAAATATGCTTTTTATGGGTTCTACAGGTGTGTGATGTTATATTTCTTTGATTTACAGCCAATATATAGGCATGTTGCCATACATCTAGTTTTCTCGTAGATTTAAAGAATAATCAATTATCAAGTTAGACAGCTCTGTATCCCATGACAAACATTTGACATTCAATGGAACAGTATTAAAATGATTCTGTTTGCCTAAGAATGATTTATTATCATAAAATATAAAGAAGAAGCAATCACAAAAAAAAGTAATCTAAGTCCCAGCATTATTCTAGAAAAAACTTATCTTACTGTTTATTACATGTTATAATAAGAATAATTTTACATTGTTCTGAACATTTTCTTATTTCTTTACTTTTTAACGCTAAATATATGAACTCCTCTTTTTTATATAGGTCTACTACATAGTGAATGCTCTAGGAAAGACTACAGAAATACAAAACAGATTGTCATATCAGTAACAGTGTGACAACTCTTAAATTTCAAAATGCGGCCAACACAGTTCTGTTATGTGGAGAAGAGAGGAGAATGATTGCGAATTAATGTACACTTAGTTCAGTGCATCATGGATCTACAAAGTAATATCATCAAAATTTATTTTTTCATAGCTAAGCCATTTTAAGCACTGCAGTAGACAGAACAATGATAGTCACGTGGTTTGAGACTAAGTAAGACTTAAGACAATAGAAAAAACTTCCTGAAATCAGCTGTAAGTGGTTTCATAGCGCACATAAAACAATAAACTAATTCAAAGTATTTAGGCAGGCTGTTTGATAAATAATTCATTATACCATAAAACAAACACTATAGAATTTGTTAGATATTAGCACAATTATTTTTAAAAAAAGTTAATGTCTTCAAAGAAGTTTTATCGCAAATGACAAAAATCTTGATTAATAATTTTAGTCTAAAAAGTCTATTTATGATTTTTTTTAATGATGTAATCATATGCGCTGCTTATATTTTTAATGCTAAATGACTACAGAGTTCAAGCTGACTTAACAAGTGGGAATATCTTCTTTCCAGTGAGTGCCTTAAGCCTAAACTGATTTTAACATATGATCAACTATGCTTTTTATGGGTTCTACAGGTGTTTGATGTTATATTTCTTTTATTGACAGCCAATATATCAGCATGTTGGCATACATCTAGTTTTCTCATAGATTTAATGAATTATCAAATAACAAGATAGATAACTCTGCATCCCATGACAAATATAAGACATTCAATGGAACAGTATTGAAATGATAATGTTTAGTTTAGAATGATTTATTTTCATAAGATATAAAGAAGAAGCAATATCAAAGACAAAATAAGTAATATAAGTCCCAGCTTTATACTGAAAAAACCTGATTTTACTGTTTATTACATGTTATAAAAAGATTAATTTCACATGTTCTGAACATTGTCTTATTTTTTTTACTTTTTAACTCTGAATATATGATCTCCTCTTTTCTTATAGGTCTACTACATAGTGAATGATATGGGAAATGCTACAGAAATATAAAAACAGGTCTGTTCTATTAGAAACAGTGTGACAATTCTTAAATTTCAACATGTGGCAAACAAAGTTCTGTTATGTAGAGAAGAAAGGAGAGTGAGTGTGAATGTATTTAAAGCAATTTGGCAGCAAATGAAAAAATTCTTGCTGAATAAATTTTGTCTAAAAAAGTCTAGGTATGATTTTTTTATGACGTTACTATATGCACTGCTTTATTTTTTAATGCTTAATTACTACAGAATTCCATCTGATTAAACAATGGAAATATCTTCTTTCCAATGAGTAGTTTAAGCCTAACCTGCGTTTAATATCTTCTATTCAATGAGTGGTTAAAGCCTAACCTGATTTTAACATATGATCAAATATGCTTTTTATGGGTTCTACAGGTGTGTGATGTATTATTTCTTTTATTAACAGCCAATATATAGGCATGTTGGAAAACATCTAGTTTTCTCATAGATTTAAAAAATCATCAAATATCAAAAAAATAGACAGCTCTGTATCCCAAGATTTAAGAATCATCAAATATAAAAAAAATAGGCAGCTTTGTATCCCATGACAAAAAATGACTTTCAATGGAACAGTATTGAAATGGTTATGTTTACTTTAGAATGATTTATTATCATAAAATATAAAGAAGAAGCAGTCACAAAAAAAGTAGAACAAGTCCCAGCATTATACTAGAAAAGCTTATTTAACTGTTCATTACCTGTTATAGGATTAATTTTACATGTTCTGAACATTTTCTTATTTCTTTACTTTTTAACGCTGAATATATAAACTCCTATTTTTTTTATAGGTCTACTACATCGTGAATGCTCTAGGAAAGGCTACAGAAATATGAAACCAGGTGTGTCCCTTCAGGAACAGTGTGACAATTCTTAAATTTGAACATGCGGCTAACACAGTTCTGTTATGTGGAGAAGAGAGGAGAATGATTGCGAATTAATGTACACTTAGTTCAGTGCATCATGGATCTACAAAGTAATACAAACAAAATTTATCTATTCATAGCAAAGCCATTTTTAGCACTGCAGTAGACAGAACATTGATAAACACATGATTTTAGACTATTAAAGACTTTTGACAATAGAAAAATACTTCCCGAGATCAGCTGTAAGTGCTTATACATCACACATAAAACAATATACTAAAGTATTTTTGTAGGCTGTTGGATAAGACATACATTTACACCAGTAAACTCAAACAATAGCGTTTCTTCAATGTGAGCACAGTTATTTAAAAAAAAATTATAATGAGTAATGTGTTCAAAGCAGTTTGACGGAAAATGACACAAATCTTGCGTAATAAAAGAATTCAATCTGAGTAAAAAAATTGAAATATCTTCTTTCCAATATCTGGTTAAAGATGGCAGGAACAAGTTGTGATGTACCAGAACACATGTCCCACACAGAAAATTTGTTATAGTTAAGTAATAAAACATATAATTGCATCATTTGGTTATAGATATTCCAGGCTATTATTTTACATTAGTAAGTAGTTGCATACGCAGGTTTGGGATTTCCTTCACATATTGGACCAATCAGAAGTCGAAATTGATGTCCCCTCTCTTGATTTCATCAATTCAAAGGTGGAAAAAATATCAGTTTTATGTGAACAAAAATATCTTGATAATTTTGATGGAAGTGATAGATGCAGACATCTGTACGAAAATATTCACCTGGATTTTATATGAATTTTGGACGGATTTTTTACAGGGAATCTGTATAAAGCCTCTTTAAACCTAGAATCTTTTTTACATGGATTCCAGGCGGATTCAGGGCGAAATAGGGCCAAAATATGCAAATTTATCCGCTTGTCTTAGGAGGGCAAAAAATCCGTCTGATTAAAAGGAAAAATATTTCTCTCCTAAAACAAATCCGCCTAAAGAGGAGGACAAAATTTCCGCCTGAAGAGGCGGACAAAATTTCTGAATATAGAGACGTAAATTATTTCCGTCTACAAAGGAGGAAATGTTTTCATTCCACCTGTTAAGGTTTTTTTTCCATTTCTTGCAATGAAAATGAGGCCTTCTCATAAATGAAATACTTATATTGTTAACTAAATTTACTCTATCTAAGCAATCATCATTTTGACATTTTTAGTTCTTCACAATTTCAGCATTATCAGTTATTACAGTCACAATTTAAGTGTCTTTTCAGTGTTTGGTGCACATTTTCTTCTGTTAAAATCACAATTTTCTTTATTTCTTTCCTGTGTAGCTAACTTGATCTGTTACAGCATTATTAATTTGGTCAAAATTGGCAGTCCTGCATACATCTGTTATATTGTTTTGTTTTTTACACCAAGCAGAAACAATCTGAAATAAATAATGAGGGCATAAGTTATAATAACAAATGTATTACTGGTTCAATTAAAAAAAAATTACCAAATTTTCATGTTGCAAATTTGTCTATATGACACAGGTAAATTGTGAGCTGCCTAGATCTGGTAGATTGGGTGTCTTTTCTGAGCATCACTTCTGGGCATGTTGCAAAAATACTCTTTTCTTTGGATATATTTTACTACGTATCATTCAATATACAACAAAAACATCTAAAACGTAAAATTTTAGGAAATGTTTGTGTATTTTAAGCTTCATAGATTATTTCAAATTGTTGGGTTTAAATAAAAGATAATTACATCTAAAAAAAATGTACAGTTTAAATATTTTTATTTTTTTTTAAATGTGGAATATGCAAATCCTACATAAAAAGCATTAATAATGATTTCTTTCAGACAAACTACTTACTCAAACTCAAAGTCATAGTGAGTCCATTCTTCAGTCCTATGGGTATTGAAAAGATATATTAAAACTAATAATGCACATACATCATTCTTTAAATTTTCTTTTCACCAGTTCTGAAATATAAAACAAATTGGTGGAAATAAGTACATATAAAATTGCTGAATAGTCTGATACTAGTATCATTTACATATTCAGAAGCTGATTTGGGGGTGGTGGAGCCCCTCCCTCTTAATGAGCTACACATATTGTTATTGCATAGATTTATACAAGTCCCACTTCAAACTTTGACTTGGTGCCACTACACTCCCTTCAAATTCCTGGATCAGCAACAATATATAACTGTACAAATAATACATTTAACCTGACTTCAATACTCTATGTGCCTGACCCAAAACACTCAGTGCATGAAGTCTATAGGTTGTTCTTTCCTTTGTTTAATATTTGTTTTTCATTGTACTTTTACATCATAGGTCCTGGCCATTTTTAAAATCTAAATTTTGATCAGTAATTGTGTACGTCTATTTAAAGATAATACTTTTTGTCTTTCGTGGATAGATGTCTATATATTTATTTATTGGTAGTCATACCACAGATCTCCAATTTTGCCCAAACTACTTCATTAAAAGATTCTTACAGTTTTTACATATTAAATGATATCAGAGACATATATACACATGTGTATATTTGTCTCTGATAATACTTTATAAAAGAGACTTAAAAAATAAAAATTATGTCTCATGTTTTACACAATACCATAATAATTGCATTAATTTGTGGTCTAGTTTTTTACTTGACTCTTAATATTTAAGAAGACACTTTAAATGTCACTTTTTTTAGCACTGTTTCATAATATTCAAAATGGTGGAAATTCTAATTCATAATTTGTACTCACCAAAAGATATAATCCAAAATATATGTAAATATCAATCTTCTTAAATCCAACATTCATGTCATCAGAAGAATACATCTGCACTTTTTTATGTCAATAGAATTATTTGGAACTTTTTAGTCTACATCCATTGTAAAATTCCTATTTTATTTATGATGGAAGACATCTTTGCTTGTTGTCTGCATGTTCATGTCAAGTTCAAATTTTGAATTTGTTGGGGTTGTGTAGGGAGTTGTCTGATTCCTTGAAATGTGTCCCTGATGAATACAGTTAATTACCTAAATCTTAAATATTTGATATATATAATAATAACAAAAATATTCACTTACTATTTATTATCTATCTTTATGTTTATAAGTTATAGCAATTGCAGAAAAACGAACAAAGACATGTGCTCCCCTTCATTTGGCCCCAACTCTGTACATGATATTTCCTGTTCATTTCACAGAGATATATGAAAAAAACAGATGGCACATTGTATTTGTATCACTGGCTCAGCTTTCTTATTGATGAGAAAGAGACTACATGGAAATATTTTTTGTGTATACCTAATTAAATAAAGATACTGGAAATTAAACAAAATTTAACCTGCAACAGATGAGGCTTAATTCATTTGATAGAAAATCTAAAATTAAGATATTGTCTTAAATACTGTAAGTGAAATATGTATTACACAATAAATATTGAGTTAAGTCTTCCAATTGATATGTAATAGTGTGTCTTTCTATGTTGTGATGTTATACTATTGTTTCAGAAAAGGGAGAAGGTTTGGTACCATTAAAACGTTTAATCCCGCTGCTAATGTTTGCACCTGTCCTAAGTCAGGAATCTGATGTACAGTAGTTGTCGTCTGTTTATGTAGTTCATACGTGTTTCTCGTTTCTCGTTTTTATGTTTCAAATGCTATTTGTTAACACACTATTTAGTATGTAAATATTAAAAAGTAACCATTGCAGGGATTATAATTGGTTATATATTTTATAAAATTCATGATTGAAATATATGCATCTCTTTTGAATAATGTTGGATTTAAGGGTGGAATTAACACTGGTTTTATTGCCCAGATAATCAGCACTCTCTAAATCACTGAATTAAAAAATACTTCAATAATGATATATTTTTCATTTTAAAAAAACTAAAAAACAATTAAGAACAATTTCTGCCTCATAAATTTTAACAAAATTTTATAAGTACAAAATTTAATTCCCGCCTCATAAATTTGAACAAAATGTTCTAAACGCAATTTCCTCCTAAGAATCTTGAACAAAACCTTCAAAGTCCAGCATTGCGTCTCAATACTTCTGTTACTACGGAAATCCTGTTCACTCAACAGGAAAATAGTAAACATTTCGCCTATGGTTTATGATACTTAAGATGGATTTTTTTCTATATTCTATGTTCACCTTAATTCCGTCTAAAAGTCTTAATTTTTAAGTAGACTCCGCCGGTGATCCTGCTAATTTTAAGCGGAATACACCTAATATTCTCATACGGGATGCTGAGTCTTTTTCATTGAATATCATTTATCTTTTGAAATTTGCCTTAAATTCTTCCCTGACATAGCGGGATTCAGCATGGTGGGGATCTGATTTGTAACAAGGCATCACTTTATTTGCCTTATTTGCAATGGATTTATAAACTTTTAAATATCCATGCTGGACAGACACCCAAATTTACAGGTTTTCTATATATTCACATAAGCACGCACATATCTTAGTTACCCAAAACCATAAATTTTATTTGCATATTTGCCTGAACGATTAAATCATACATCAATGAAATTTTATAGATGTATTGTAAAATAACTGGTTTCTGCCACTTGAGGTAGGCCTCGAGGTAGACTCTACATAACACGAGTCTATGGCAACATAAGGCTGGTTCTTTCCCTTGCAATATACGGGTATCTTAGACACCCTTGTCTTATATCTGTCAGATCCAAACAGATAAAGGATAGGGAACCAGTCTAAGGGAATGTTTTAAGGAATATGTACCCTTTTGCTAAACATATATGGAAATCTTAATATGAGGCAGGTGTTACCTATGAAAGGGGAGGAAGTCAGCAAATCGTCATGTGAATATTATAATGATGTATTTCCCATTTGGTAATAATGGTACAAATTTTAACTAAAGTTTAAAAGCGCAATAATAAATATTTGATTGAGACATAAAAAAGTATTATAGGAATCGAATTTATCTGCACGAAGAATAATTCTTTGTTCGATTGGTTTTTTAATAGACAAGCAACTTATATAAATAAAGCATCTCCTTTTTTGGGGATAGATCATTTCACTACAAACAATGTAGTTTTAAATTATCCCTGTATTTCCATTGGAGATGGACCATGGATTTTTAAATAAAGGCAACAGTAGTATACCGCTGTTTGAAATTCATAAATCGGTTGAGAAAAAACAAATCCGGGTTACAAACTAAAACTGAGGGAAACACATCAAATATAAGAGGACAACAAAGACACACCAGAAACACTAAAATGCAACACACACAGAAACGAACTATAAGATAACAATAGCCATTTTCCTGACTTGGTACAGGACATTTTGAGAAAAAATGGTGGGTTGAACCTGGTTTGTGGCTAGCCAAACCTCCCGCTTTAATGGCAATGTTAAATATAGCACTAAAATGAGAACATTACATGACAGGACTACAATACAAATAAATGGAAGAACATACAGGACAGAGAAACACACAAATAAATAATACAATAGAACATTACGACAAGCTAATAGTTCAAAGGTGCCAGGCCTAAAGATGAAAAGCATTGATGACCCAAGATTCCAAAAAGTTGTGCCAAATACTG